TGGCTGAAGATAGTCTTATATATGTACTTGTGCTACAAAATTAATCACATAACATTACAGAAGTAACAGAGAACAAGGTTGGAGTAGCTTCTCAGGGACAACCAAACACCTTGAGGGAGTGAATCACCAGGACTGCAGGTTTGGGACCATAGTCTTGGGGACACCATGCTCAATTGACACATGTTGTTGTTGTTGTTATGTGCCATTGAGTCGGACCCGATTCATAGTGACCCCTCCTTGGGTTTCCGAGGCAGTATCACTACAGAAGTAGATTGCCCCATCTTCCTTCTGAAGAGTGGCTGGTGGGTTTGAACTGACAGCCTTCTGATTAGCAGTCGAGTGCCTTAGGCACTATGCTACCAGATTGACACAACATAGTACATAAAAACCTTGTTCTACATCCTACTTTGGTGAGTAGTGACTGGGGTCTTAAAAGCTTCTGAGCACACATCTAAGATGCAACTATTGGTCTCCTCTCATCTGGAGTAAACAAGAGTGAGGAAAATCAGTCATTTGGAAACAAATAGTCCAAAGATGTGATAGACCATGAGAACCTCAGCCTTCACAACCCTGAGACCAAAAGAACTAAATGGTCCCTAGCTACCTATGCTAACAACTCAGAAAGGGATCAAAACTGGAGATCCTGGTTAGAGTGGGAGGAAAAATGTGGAACAAAATTCAAAAACACAAAAATGACCAGAATTACTTGTCGGATAGAGGCTGGTGAACCCCTGAGACTGTGGCCCTGGGTTATCCTTCAGGCTTGGAACTGGACTCACTTCTATAGATAAACTTTCAAACAGTAGAAAAACCTACAAGCAGAAAAACAACCCCAGAAAGATGCACCCACCTACCCAGGGAGATGCACCCTAGATCAATCAACCATGAGACAACAGAAGGGCAGCATTTGCATAGAAGAAAAGATGTACAGACAGGCATACATAGATCAGAAGGACACAGGAAATGGATAGTCACAGGGCAGAGATGGAAGGAGAACTTTGATGGTTGCAGATTGTAAACAGGACTATGAAACCAAATGTGCATGAACTGTTGTGTGTAAAATGAATCTCCTTTGTAAATCTGCACCCACACCACAATAAAAAATAAATAAATAAATGAAGTAAAAAGAGGATTTTAACTTGAAATGAAAAGAGTAAGATCAAATGCTGGCTGATCTTTGAAAAAGGACTGGAATCCATTAAATGAATTTAATGTTAATGTTAATGTTAATCTACAAAAATTAACTCCAGATGGATCAAAGATTTAAATGTGAAACCTAAAGCTATAAAGTTCCTCAAGGGAAAAATGGGGGCAGATTTAGGGGCCTTAATATATAGCATAAATAGATTGTCAAGCATAACCCGAAATGCACATACAGCAAAAGATAAACTAGATGAATAGGACATTCTAAAAATTAAATTTTTATGTGCTTCCAATGACTTCTCTAAAAAAGTAAAAAGAGAACATACAGACTGGGGAAAAACTATCTGGCAACAACATAACATACAAGGGATTTATCTCTAGAATTTATAGAAAACTCCAACACTTCAACAACAAAAAGACAAACAATCCAATTAAAGACATGAATAGACGCTGTACCAAAAAGGATATTCAGGTGGCCAACAAACATGAAGAAATGTTCGTGATCATTAGCTATTAGAGAGATGCAAATCAAAACAACAATGAGGTACCATCTTGGCCCAGCATTAATTGCCAAGTTCAACAAGACAGAAAAGAACAAATGCTGGTGAGGATGCGGATAGATTGGGACTCTCATACACTACTGGTGGGACTATCAAATGGTACAACCACTGTGGAAAGCAGTATGATGATTCCTCAAAAAGCTGGAATTAGAAATACCTTTTGATCCAGCAATCCCATTACCAGGTATGTAAAGTGAGCCAGGACAAGAACAGCTATATGCACAGCCACATTCTTTGTAGCACTATTTACAGTAGCAAAAAGATGGAAACAACCTAAGTGTCCATCAACAGAAGAATGTATAACCAAACTATGGTACATACACATAATGGGATATTATGCAACACTAGAATCTGTAAAACACCACATAATGTGGATGAAATTGGAGGACATTATGCTGAGTGAAATAAATCAATCACAGAAGGACAAATATTGTATTAGTTCACTATTGTTAAAACTCAAGGAAAGTTATATATGGAAGGAAATTTTCTTAGTTGATTACCAAGGGTGGGAGAGGAGGGGAGGGAACACTGCAAAAAATAAATAAATAAATAAAAATGAAAAAATAAACAAAATGCTGTCAAGAAGAGTACCTAACATGACAAAAAAAAAAAAAATGGCAGCAATTATAGGTGATGCCTGTACAACCTGATTAATGTAATTGATAGCACTAAATTGTACACCTGAAAATGTTAAATAAGCAAATGTTGTGTCATATATGTATGTGTGTATGTGTAGCAATAATAAGAAGAGTATCTAAGAAAAATTAGAAAGAAGAGGACATCTCACCTGACCTTTGTATTTTTTACCACAATGCAAACTTCAGTCAAAATAAGTATATACTTTCTGATAAGTCTAAGTCACTAGACAAAAACATCATTGAAAATACTAGGAACAATGAAATAAACTTTCACTTCTTCTGCTGTCCTTTACTGAGTTATAATTTTGACTGTTGTTGTTGGTAGGTGCTGTTAAGTTAGCTCTGACTCATAGTGACCCTACGTACAACAGAACAAAACATTGCCCAGTCATGCACCATCCTCATAATCCTTGCTATACTTGACCCCATTGTTGCAGCCACTGTGTCAATCCATCTCGTTGAGGGTCTTTTCTTTTTTTTTTTTTTTTTTTTTTTTTTTTTGCTGTTCCTCTACTTCACCAAGTATGATATCCTTCTCCAAAAATGGTCCCTTCTGACAACATGGCCAAACTAGGTGAGATGAAATCTGATAGTTCTCACTTCTAAGAAGCATTAATTTGATTAGAAACAAAAATATTGCTACATTCAATTAAGTTTTTCATGCAGTCATTTCGTATATTCAGGGAAGGGAAAAAGAAGAAATGTACTTGTTTTCTCATTTCTCCTTCAAATTGTGGATAAGATACTAAAAGTTCCTTGAACAACATCATTTTTTCCCTAAACTATCCTTTTTTGTTCTCCATGTCATCATAAATGAACTGAAAGAAAACAAATGTTCCAAATAAGAGCCTCAAAAGAAAAAAAACCTCACAGAAAGGCCCAGCAATAATAAAATTTTAAAAATAAATTCTTTTTCCCAAAAAAATACAAGAAGTAATCTCAGATAAGCATTATTTACCAAAATAGTAAAGATATAACTAGTCACTTCTTGAGGATTAATTTTGTTTACACAACACATAAATTACTACAGAGTGAAGAGAGTGTGGTAGAACTGTAAAGAAGGACTAAGACTTATTCAGAAGCAAGTACTTGAAAAAATAACTTTCATTCTTCTCTCCCTCTGTATAAGTAGTCAGGATCTACAATGGATGGACACTGCATAGTCCAAGTACGGAACTCTTCATTGTTTGCTTCAATGAAACAGAAGAAAACATCTTCAGGATAGTCATCCAGACCCCACCTCTAGGTTATTTTTCACCACATGCCCCTCACATAAAGAAGTCAAATCCCCGGATATTATCAGGGTGACCCATCAGATCATGTAAACTCAATTTTGATCTTCACTAAATGCAATGTGTGAACCTCGTTTGAATCCTGATTCAAACAAGTTTATTGTATAATAATTTTTGGAGGTAAAAGGGGCAATTTGACCATGGTTTAAGTGTTAGATAATACTATGGAATTACTGTTAATGTTATTAGAATATGATTATGACATTTTCCAAACAAAATTTAAAATCTTTATCTGTTAGAGATACATATGGAAGTAGGTACTACTAAAATATATAATCTGAGATTTTACTTACAATATGCTTCCAGGAAAATTGGTAAGGAGATACATGAAACAAGATTGATAAAGTGTAATAATTTTGAAACTAATTCATTAAACCATTCCCTATACTTCTGAACACAGTTGAATATTTCCATAATATAGGTTTAAAAAAAAAGTAAAAAAGGACTTGACTTGAAGCATCAAGATTTTCAGAAACCGCCATAGCCTCCTTCTCACAAAGTCATTCTCTAGACTTTCCAAAACCAAACCCACTGCCATGGAGTCAAATCAACTCATAGCGACCCCTCCTTGGGTTTCCGAGGCAGTATCACTATGGAAGTATATTGCCCAACCTTCCTTCCAAGGAGTGGTTAGTGAGTTTGAACTGTCAGCCTTCTGGTTAGCAAATGTCTCTAGACTTTAAGGACTGGTTAAATAAGAGCAACAATATTGACAGCAGTTGTGAGAACAGGCACCCTTGTCTTGTTCCTGATCTTAAGAGGAAAGTTCTCCATCTTTCTCCACTGTGTATGATGTTAGCAGTGAGTTTTTCACAAATGCCCTGTAGATACAGAAATTATGATAGATGGAGGAATGTTCCTTCTCTTCCTTTCTTATGGAGTGTTTATATGACTAAATGGTGAAAAACTAATTATAAACATGACATCAGGGATTGGGGAGCTTTCAGTGAGAGCATTTGGAGAGCTGCTAGATAGGAACTAAGAGAAAATAAAAACAGCATGCTTATGTTCTGACCATCTTTGGTTTTCCTAATATATATTACAATAAAATCACTGCAAACTGAACGTTTGGACTCCTGAACTCTAAGACTCCTAGTCTTCCAGAGAAAAGATAATGTGTTCAACACAAGATCTTACTGTCTTTGTGAATATATAAAAAACCAATAGTTACTCCACGCCAAATTTTAAAAATCCAAAAGTGTATAATATATAAAAATAAGAATGTCAATTTTTAGTACAAAAATAATAACAGATAGCTGAACCAGTAATATCTGGGAGAGCTTCTGGGCAAAAAAAAGAAAAAGAAAGGAAAAAAAACAAAGAAATTTTACCAACATACAGGAAGGAAAGATATAAGACATGCTTACTGTTGGACCTCACTGGGAACTTTCGAGGACTTCCAATAAGGGAAATATTTAAAGACTTCCAGTCCTGCTGCAACATAAAAATCATTGTCTTTCAAATCCTTTGAGTTGTCCAATAGGTGTCCATTCATTGTATATAGTCTGCAAATAAAGAATGAAAAAACAGACTAGAAATTTTAAGACTATTAATACAGTATTTTGAGTATTTTCCACTTATAACTATCAGGAATCCTGGTGCACAATGGTTAAGTGCACATCTGCTAACTGAAAGGTCAGTGACTCAAAACTACGAGCCATTCTATGGGAGAAAGACATCTGTTTCTGTAAAGATTAAACCAAAAAAACCTCACTGTCATCCAATCGATTCTGACTCATAGTGATACTATAGGACAGAGACTAAATGCCCCATAAGATTTCCAAGACTGTAATCTTTATGAAAGGAGCCCTGGTGATGGAGTGGTTAAACACTTGGCTGCTAACCGAAAGGTTGGCGGTAAAGTCAGCAGTTGGAACCCACCAGCCACTCGGCGGGAAGAAAATGTGGCAATCTGCTTCCATAAAGATTATATACAGCCTTGGAAACTTTATAGGACAATTTTACTCTGTCCTGTAGGGTCACTATGAGTTGGAATCAACTTGATAGCAATGTGTTTAATATAACTATCATTTGGGTTCTTGTAGAAATTATCTACTCATAAATAAGCATAAGCTAAATGGGCTAGTTAAAAAAAAACTATGAGAGCTGCTCTTCCAGGATTAAGCTCTCCTTCCATTTTCAGATATTTTAATTAAAGTATATTTTTAATTATATACAAGTGCTCAGAGGCCCTTGAGAATACTTTAAGCTCTTGGTTTCAATAAATTTAAACTAATAACAGCTGAAATTAATACAAATTGGCTTATACTGTAACAATAATACTTGGAAAACAAAACAGCAATTAATAGTAAATAATATGCCTTTTCATAAGCATCAAAAGACTAATATTAGTCTATTTTTTATTCAGTACCCCTCATTGGCAAGTATTCATTCACTAGTTTATTTATTCAAGAAATGATTCAATTATTCACTACTGAACACCTATTATGCATAAGGCAATGAGGTAGATAAGGAATTGGAAACAAAATATGAATAAGAAAGTCACTGCTTCAGCAAAGCCAAGAATTATCAAAAATTTATAAAGATAAATATGACAAGAAAAGAGGAGAGTGCTGGGGTCCCAAAAGGAGAAAGATTAAATTCAACTGTAGGCTAAACAAGGTGGAAGAATTTAAAATGGGCTTTGAAAAGTGGGTAGGATTTTGTTCTGTGAAGATAGGATGATAGCAATTTTGTGTAGCAGGAGGGACCTTGGCCAAGAGCCAGAACAGAGGGTTTGGCTGCCACATAAGTGTGAAAAGGAAATATGGAACTTGAATGCATAGATAGAGTGGAGTTTATAAAGAGCCTTGCGTTCCAGGGTAATAAATGTATAATTAATTTAACAAGAAGGATTGAAGATTTTCATAGAATAGTAAAATAAATGCCATGTTTCTTGTTTTTTTTCTTTCTTTTTTTATTTTTTATTTTTTTTAATTGTGATTTGTGTGAGAGTTTACAGAGCAAATTCATTTTTCATACAACAGGTCATACACATTTTGTTTCAGGACATTGATTGCAATCCCTATAATATAACAGCTCTTTCCACTTCCTGTGGGTACCTTTTCCCTGTGTCCTTCTTTGCTATGTATTCCTGCCCTCTGAGCTATTTCCCTATGCAAATACTGCCCTTCTTGTCTCCCAGCATTGATTGTTCTAAGGAGTACATCTAGCAGGTGTAAATGTTCACCTCTTATGTCTATCAGTTGTTTGGCTGGAAGCCACAGGAGTGAGTTCAATTCCAGCCAGGTCCAAATGGTGACTAGGGGTCATAGTCTCAGGGGTTTCACCAGTCTCTACCAGACCAGTAAGCCTGATCTTATTTATTGCTTTGAGTTTTGTTCCACATTTTTCTCCCACTCTATCCAGGATTTCCTGCACTGATCCATTTCTGAATGGTTGACAGGGGTAGCCAGGCACCATTTCATTCTTCTGGTCTCAGGATCATTTAGGCTTACGTACACACGGTCTACTAGCTCCTAGTACTCATGTGTTTTTGGTTTTCTTCATTCTTCTTTGCTCCAGATGAGGAGAGACCAATTGTTGCATCTTAGATGGTTGCTTGCAAGCTTTTAAGTCCCCAGTCACTACTTATGAAAGTAGGATGTAGAACAATGTTTTTGTGTAGTATGTTATGCCAAGTGAGTTTGATGTCTCCCACGACCATGATCCCAAACCCATGGGTCCAGCAAGTCACTTCCTCCTCTGGCTATGGTTAAGAAGTTATCTGTATATATATATGGACATTCTTATAACACATACAAATACATATTTCAAAATATCATCTGCCAAACTTATATATGGTCATAGGTATATTCCCTTTTGCCTACCTGATTATTTACCCTACCTATGTATTCATCTGTAGACAAATGTTTATTATTACTGTACTGTGCATTACTGCAGTATTGTATGTTAGAGGGTTTATTGTTATTGCCTGTACCTCTTGTGCACCTCTCTGTGTCTTCCTTTGTCTTAGTGTTATGTGTATGGGATGTGATGGAGACAAAAGAGGAGACTTGAAAATCTATTGCAAGAGTATATAGTGAAGTAATGAAATACTGCAGAAACTGCAGGAATGAAAAAAAAGAGAATGAATGCAGGAAACATTAAAAATTAGAATCTACAGAACTTATCCATCCTCGTAGATCAATCACTCTCAAATTTAAGTATACATCAGAATCACCTGGAAGGCTTCTTAAAACACAGATTGCTTGGCCCTTCCCTCAAAGTCTCTGAGTCAGTACATTGTGGATAAAGCTAAAACACTTCATTTCTAACAAGTTCCTAGCTTATATTACTGCTGCTGATCCTAGGGACACATTTTAAAAATTGCTGTCCTATCAACTCTGATAGAAATAGAGAAGGAGAACATCAAGACAGGATCAAGTGTGAGCAACCACTGGAGAGTTGGCCCTGTGTGGGGAGCAGGTGGCTTCCAGAGGAAAAGTAACTGTTCTACCCACAATTGACTTGGAGCAAACAATGCTTGCTCACAACTGGGAGAATCACACAGCTACTGCAGGTATCCCCAGGAGTAAATCAGTGAAGTGTAGAAGCCTTGAAGCACTCATCAGGTGAAGGGAGTGGTGGGACTGACTACTTGCAATCTTAAGGAGATTGTCCCCACCCAGAGCTACTACTGCAGAACTTGGACAGTGAGGCTCTGAAGGGAGTTGTTCGGTAGATTCCACCAGAAGCAGAAGTACTAGAACAGATGGACTAAAAATGTAACATAAACGTGACAAATGTTAAGAAAGAAATAAGGGGAGATATATCAACATGAAACAAGACTACGAAATCATAACAAGAATCAAGTGGAAATATTGATTTGAAGCTAGAATAGTTGAACCGAAGAGCACAACAACGAGATGGTTAGTGTAATGGATACAGAAACAAATACATGTTTGGAAGATGAAATTGAAGAACTCTCCCTGAAGGAAGCAGAGAAGGACAAAAACAAAAACAAAAAAAGAATATGTAAAAGTTTAAAAAATAAGGTGAATAGAAGTCTCAGCATCCAGATATTAGGAAACCAAGAATAAGTTAAAATAAAAGTGAAAAGGAAGAACTATGTGCAGAAATAATGACGATCAGTTCCACAGAACTGAAGAAAAGGGAAGACTTCAGATTGAATGAGCCCAGAGGACAAACTACAGAGAAACTAACATCTAGACACACCAATGTGTTACTTAAAAACATAAACAAGAGCATTCTGAAAACCTCTAGGGAGAAAGAGCAGATTGCATACAAAGCAACAAGAATCAGACTGACATCAGATTTTTTAACAGTACACTGAAGTAAAGAAAAAATGAAGTAATATTTTCTAAATCTGAAAAAAAAGAACTTTGAAGCTAGCCAAATCTTCCTTTACATAGAAGGGTATGATTTAAATATATATATATATGAGTCAGGGCTGACTCGAAGGCACATAACAACAACAACAACAACAAATATATATATCAGGCTTATAAGACCTTAGAATACCACATAAAGAATCACTTTGAACATTTTGAGAAGCTGCTGCTAAATAAGCCAAAAAACCAAACTCACTGCCATCAAGTCAGATCTGACTCATAGCAACCCCTCCTTGGGTTTTCAAGGCAGTATCTGTACAGAAGCAGATTGCCCAACCTTCCTTCCGAGGAGTGGCTGGTGGGTTTCAACTGCCAGCCTTCTGGTTAGCAGTCACATGCCTAGGGAAAGCAAATTCAAGAGATGCTACAAGAATATGTAAAGATCATTAAACACCTAGGTACAACTTGTGTTGTCTTAAAAAAAAAAAAAAAAAACCTAAGATCAAAGAAGGCATATTCATAATAACTCAAAATTCAAATTCTTCTTACATCAGTGTGATACAGTTTGTTTGAGGTGGAATGAGGGAGACCATGGAATATGAAAACATGTTTATGTTTGTGTATAGATAGGGGAAAAACATAAATATCAATTCAAAATCTACAAAACATGGCAACTGACAGATGTTGAGCTGATACACTGTTTGTCTAACATGACTCAAGGTTTTAATTCTGGGTGCCCGGAAAATGATGGGACCATTAACAGAAACAAGAAAGATAGGGAGTAGAACTGATGGTTTGGGGAAAAAGTAGGACAGGTAGAAGAAGTTAGCTATCAACAGTGATGTAACTGAAAAAAAGGAAAAATGGACCCTGAAGAGACTAAAGTTGAATGTCCTAGTATATACCAAGAAAAACTTCACATTCTCTTTCAACCAAAAGACTTGTAAAATGATGTTAGTTGTTTGTATTTCCAAGAAATTAAATGCTTTTTTCATTCCATGTTGAGACAAAATATGCAAAAGAATGGAACTTAGATGCCTCAATGCAGAACACACAAGATGTCTGAGCTAAGGTCAAAACTTACAGCCTTTAGTTCAAACCCCAGGAGTGTCACAAGGGATACATGGCTGGGTCTACCCTACAGGACCAAATTAATCAAGTATGTCCCCCTGCCATCTTCTCTAAATTCCCTTCAACCTCTTTCTCCTCTA